GAGTAAGTGCAACGGTGGCGAGGGGATCTTGGATCTTCGATCCTGAGGGCCCGTGAGCACTCTTGGAAGATGAAATCTTCCTGTGCCTGTTTGGAGAGGCGGATCTGGAGGAGGAGGAAGAGAGGTACTCTTCAAACTTTTGTTGATCGAACTCGTATTCGATCTCTTCGTTCACCCGGATCTTGAATGCCGGTTGCGTCACGACGGCCTCGGCAGCGAGGCCGTTGGCTCCCACTGAGGGTTTAGATTTGTTTTCGTCAAAAGTTGCCTTCATCATTGATTTCATTAAACTTCAAACGTTACAAATGAATTCAAATAACGAAAATAAAAATTACAACTTTCTTGAAAATAAACACAAGATCCGTTTATCGTCTCTTGCTTGCGTGGGTCTTTAGCCTGTGACGGGGACGTCGATATCCGTGGACTACCTGGTAATCAGATCTGATCCAGAAAAATCGGGCAGAGCTTCGTCGATCCGCGAGGAGATCTAGAAACTTGAAGCGCCTATCTCGGATAAAGCGAGATATTTGCTCTTCTTAGGATTACCGACGAGGGGTAATGCTAAGGAACGGATACGGGTGATGTAGATCTGATGAAGAACTCTCTTGTGTTGAAGTGCTCGCGATCCCCAAAAAGTGAGGCCTAAGGCTTCTATTTATAGGCGACACCCCTGGGATGTCCTCAAAAATCTAGGACACCCCTGGGGTGTCCCCAAAAATTTAGGACACCCCTGGGGTGTCCTCAAAAAACTAGGACACCCCTGGGGTGTCTCCAAAAATCTAGGACACCCCTGGGGTGTCCCCAAAAATCTAGGACACCCCTGGGGCGTCCCCAAAAGTCTAGGACACCCTTGGGGCGTCCCCAAAAGTCTAGGACACCCCTGGGGCGTCCCCAAAAGTCTAGGACACCCTTGGGGCGTCCCCAAAAGTCTAGGACACCCCTGGGGCGTCCCCAAAAGTCTAGGACACCCCTTGGGGCGTCCCCAAAAGTCTAGGACACCCCTGGGGCGTCCCCAAAAGTCTAGGACATCCCTGGGGTGTCCCCAAAAGTCTAGGACACCCCTGGAGCGTCCCCAAAAATCTAGGACACCCCTGGGGAGTCCCCAAAAGTTTAGGACACCCCTGGGGCGTCCCCAAAAATCTAGGACACCCCTGGGGTGTCCCCAAAAATCTAGGACACCCCGCGGTAAATTCTTCGTCCGAACTCGGATTTTAGTGATTCGAATTGTGTTGGAATTCTGACGAAGAGTTCTATTAGCCCCGATGGTTGGATTATCTGTAGAACGAACGAGACACAAAATGCGTTGTTCTTTTTGTAAACATCGCGGGGCTCTCGATTAGCCTGTGCCTTCGTTATTCCGAAATTCTGTCAGTTCACGTAGTTCGTCGATTCACTTCAAACGTTCACCGACATCAATTGAACTCCTGTGAACCAGATGGTGACGTTCATTGTCGTTCCTTAACACTGAGCTGTTCGTGGAGACCTATAGGCAATTTTCGATGCCTACAGATACCACCTCCAAAGCGTTCCAGACTCGTTTCTTTTATAGAAGAGGCTGAAATACTTTGGATGTGATTGATCCAGCCTTCAGTCGGCGTAAAGGACCTGTAATTAGCTTCAACTTTTGGCCCCTTCGATTTTCGGTCTATTTGATGCTTTGACGAATAACCGAAGTTCTTCCGGCGCTGCGTTTATCGCTTGGCCGTCGTCGGAGTCTCAAGTCTACAGCTGATGAATTGAGTTTGGCTCGTGTCATTGAGTTGACTTTGAACTACCTTCGTCACATTGTGTTGACTTAGGGTTTTAGATCACCGTATGTTTACTTTTTGCCGCAACGCGTTGACTGGCGTTGACCTAGGGTTACGCGTTGACCGGCGTTGACCCTAGGGTTTCGAACGTCGAATGTTGACTTTTTGGTCGCAACGCGTTGACTGGCGTTAACCTAGGGTTACGCGTTGACCGGCGTTGACCAGCGTTGACCCTAGGGTTTCGAACGTCGAATGTTGACTTTTTGGTCGCAACGCGTTGACGGGCGTTGACCTAGGGTTACGCGTTGACCGACGTTGACCCTAGGGTTTCGAACGTCATACGTTGACTTTTTTTGGTCGCAACACGTTGACTGGCGTTGACCTAGGGTTACGCGTTGACCGGCGTTGACCCTAGGGTTTCGAATCAACCTGAGGAGAACCAGTTTATACTTGTGTACTCCTGGGAGTTTCGGGAATTAGTTTAGCCTCGTGTACCCGTCGGAGGTTGACGGGTTATCCTTAAGAATATCATACATAATATTTTCCAGGAACTTCCCGTCAATTGTGAGACATAGTTTAGACTCGTACTCTCATTGGAGTATAAATACGAGTGTTGAATACGTCGTAAAAATATCTGAAAAGGGGATCAAAGTGTATATAAATTATCCCCAAGTCTTTCTACACGTTCGAGCCAACATTTCGTACCTCGTACGCGTGTGAACCATCAAAAAAAGATTTAATCCGGTTCGGTTCATGCCGGTTTGAATTGGTTCGGGTCATGTGGGTTCGGTCCAACCAAAAACAAAAAAAAAATCCACTTACAAAAAAGAAAAAGAAAACCCATCCCCCTCTTCTTCTTTTCTTTCCTTCGGTTCCTGCAGTTCCGCCTCCCCCCCTCATTTTTTTTTTCGGTTTTTTGACCTCTTTTATCCCCAAGAACTCTCCTTCTTCAAGTCCTCCAAATCTCTCTTCTTCAAGGATCCTTCTCCTCTCTAGGATAAAAAAACCCCTCAAGAGCTCTTGGACTTGGCCGAATTTGTCATCTCTTCAAAAGCTAGGGTTTGGGATTTTGAGATTTTCTTCTCCTTCAAGCTCCAACCTTCTTGGAACTCAGGTAAGTTTCTCCTCATGGCTTCCATTCACTTGCTTTGATTTTTTTAGTTAATTCCCTAAGTTTTAATTCAATGATTGAAAACCCTAGTTCTTCGAATTGGGGAAAAACCGAAATTAGATTGGGATGATGGCCGAATTTTGGATTTTGTTGCGGGCATTTGTGTAAAGAACTGAAGTTTTTTTATTAGAACTCTTTGTTAGTCGAAATTTTCACTGTTCATAGCCAAAAATTACTGTTCATGGCCGAAATTGGAGGGGGCTTTTGTGTAAAAAGATGGACTAAACTTTGAGGGGGTTATGTGCAAATTTTGAAGCCAAAACTTGAGGGGGGTTATATGTAAAAGAGGGCTACAATTTGAGGGGGTTATGTGCAAATTTTCGGCTGAAATTTTGGGGGGTGTATGTGTGAATTTGGGATTGAACTTTGAGGGGGTTATATGCAAAAGAGGGCTACAATTTGAGGGGGTTATGTGTAAATATGGTTCAATGTGGTTTGAGGGGTTTATTTGCAAAAGAGCAACCCACAAAATATATAGGGGGTTTATTTGCAAAAGGACTGGAATTTTAGGGCTGAAATTCCAAAAGTTTAGATCACAAACCTACGACCAAAGTTTTGATAAAAGCATGTGGAAACCAAACCGAAATTTGTGGAGGGGTCTATATGCAAAATTGGCTAAATTCTACAAAAGGGCTTATTTGCAAAATTAACCAAAATTGTAGGGTATCGGGGGTGCTATATGATCAGATATGATGACCATGACCCAACTCGAGCGTGTTCTTGACCCGAATTTAGCCTTGAACACGAGAGGTATTTTGGGTATTTCATCAAAATTTATCGCGAAAATGACAATCATTGTTTCGCATGCACGAAATTTGTAGGTTTAATTAGACTTCAACTATAAAATCCTGTTTATACATAGGATTTTAATTAAAGTTCTTAATTTCCCTTTTAAATTTCGCGTATTCATACTTTAGATTGTATCTGACTTGCTGCTTTTCATTGCAGGTTTTCGATGCCTCCACGCCGATCTCGACTTCCTAGGAGTCGATCCCATTCGCAGCCTAGCGAGGGAGAAGTTCCCGCAGCATCCTCCCCTCCAGCAGCTTCCTTTTTTGGGGGTGGGGAATTTTTTTATTTTTGTATCCCCGATTGATCCCTTCGCGGGTCATGAAGGAAGAACCGACACCCTCCTTCGCGGGGGTCGAGGTTTCGGACTTGGTGGTTTTGTCATACCCTCGTTTGGCCCCTTCGCGGGTCATTCGGGAAGGGCCGACACCCTCCTTCGCGGGGGTCGAGGTTTCGGACTTGCTTTGCTTGGCTAATTTAAGTCTTCTGGTATATTGGGGCGATTTTGTGTCGTCCTACACCTTATAGGTCGGTGTATGTTACCACGTTATTTACGTGATGATGCATACCGTTCTTCCAGTGTAGGACACTCAAAATCGTCTCTCCAATTATCTCGTGACTGATCTTATCTCGCTTTTTATGAGCTTTCTGACTCTATCCTTGCAGTCGAGTTCCCTGCGGGCAGCCTTCCCCCTCATGCTAATACTGGTTGTAGCCGGGAGGTCTTCTCTTCAGCTTTCATCAGGCAGGCCGTTAGTCCACTCCCTTAGTTTGACAGAGATCGCTCTGACGAATCCTGTCGTTTGATACGGGATGGAGGGCGTCATTGCTTACGCCAGCTGATTACGGACGCCTCCTTCACTGCAGATTCTACTTCCACTCAGACTTTAAAGAAGCCCGGTTTTCTATTCGGTGATCACGCGGAGGATCCTACTACGTTGACTCTTACCGATGAGCATTGGCTGAATCTTCATGAGGGAGCTCTCCTGTATATTCCCTCCATTCCTCGTCAATATTCTTTCACCCATTTGGAGGGACAGGCCGTGGAGCGACATATGTCTTGGCCTCTTACCTATGATGCTGAGCGAGTTCAGTGCGGATATACCTCTCATCATAAGATTCCTGGTTCTACTGGGTATCATGATATCCGCGGTCTTCGACCATGGATTATGGGTCTTGACACTGCACCCCTAGGCGAGGTTTCAGCAGCTGCTCCTACTGTGAAGAATCGTCTGGCTTATCTTGGGAGAAGGATTTGAAGAGCAGCGGATTGTATGCACCTATACGGGCCACCATGTACGGACTTCCGGTCAGCTGCCGCCATTTCTTGGCGTTGTTGGAGACATACATGCCCGACAGTAACACGTTCATGACCAGCGGCGGAGAGTTAGGGTTGGCCTTACATGAGATGTATCAGGTTTCTGGTCTTCCAATGGGGGATTGTCCATTTCAGGAGTACTTTCCCTCGAACCAGCAGTTGGGGTGGTTGAAGAAGGATACTCCTGACATGCATGATACTCTTTGGGACCTCACTTGTCATTATTATACCTCCTTGATCGAGATTTCTCCTCCAGCGAAGAAGAAAAGACAAATCAGCTTGAAGCAGTTTGCTGTCTATCTGTTCCCTAATTTGGAGGGCGACTCCGGCGAGCCCCTTCGTGAGTTAGATATCCTGACCCCTACCGCCATTAATGAGTTGATGGAGAAGGTTGAGGCTCGTTCTTATACCATTGCCCGTGCTGAGGGAGCTTTTCCTGTAGGAACCAAGTTTCGTTCGTTTCTCCGCCGTGCACAGAAGTCCATCGAGCCCCGGACTCTGCTAGCAGGCTACCTTGCTCTCTGGTTGAAGAAGTGTGTTGTTCCCTACCGGTCTTTAGACGCCTTACCTCTCGAGGTGCTCTTCCCCGCAGTTCAGCTAGCTTATGGGAGGGAGCTTTCACTGCTCCCAGCGATGATTGCCGGCATCCATTGCGGGCTTAGGTATCTGGTCAGTGGTTTTACACAGGTGGGTTCTAAACCATCGACCGAGCTTACTTGTCCGAAGGTCGAGCTTCCTTATGCGTATCTGATGGCGTGGCTCGTTCTTCATCGTCCTGACTTGATGTCGGCGCCCAGCGTTGTTGATGTCCCCGTTCCTTTCGTGCAGCTGTTGGAGAGGAGCAGATGGCTCGGGAAGAAATTCGGCGATGCACAACGAGATCTTCAAGTTCGCAAGAGCTAGGAGTTCTTCAAGTGTTTTCCCCACTTTTCGGGTCGCTATGGTGATGTGCTGACTGATGAGGAGAAACCTAGAACTAATCGGACTGCTCTCGACGTTGGTTGTTTCCACTGGTTAGTGAACATCCATGTTGGGTATCTCGTTCTCCGGGTGAAGAATCATTGCCACATAGAGCCTTACCTTCCTTGCCGTTTTGCTCGTCAGTTCGGTTACGACCAACTATATGTTGGGAATCCGAGCCGTGGTTTGAAGGTTGAGGGGGGGGCTTATTGATGGCGTACGGGCATGGCTATGGACTATGGTGGGCTGCACCGGAGCCCACTTTGCTCTTCCTTCATATAGGCGTAAGCCGATGATTACTTTCCTCAGTTGTAAGTGGTTCCTCTCCGCCAATGAATCCATAGGTGTGAGGAGTCTTTCAGAGTTAGAGTCTGAGCACTCGGTCCAGGTCGCTATGATGGCTGCTCGTAAAGCCGAGCTTGCTCAGAAACAAAAGAGGAAGTCTGCCAAACCTCCTCTCTCAAGCAAAGACGATGAAGAGCTCCTTCCTACTGACGATGATGAAAAGACTTCTGAGGAGGAGTATGTGGATATAGATATCGACCAAGAAGAACTTGATGCAGGTTTGTCATACTCTTTGATCCTCTTTCTCAACTTCAATTGATATCAACGAAAGATCTGGTTCATTTAATGAAATAATCCTTATCATTTCAGGTAGGACAGCCGACGACCATGAGTCGCTCGCTTCCCGTCGTGCGAGATTCAGGCCTGGTGGCCAAGCTCCTACCCAGGTTGATACACGTGGCCAGTCCACGCACGAACGACCCGTTGGTTCTATGAGGGGTGATATTCCAAAAAAGAAAAAGATCGCTCATAAACCACACGTTGGTCAGCGCTCCTATGAAGTGGATTTAGGAGACTTCGCCGACAGGGAGGAAGGTAATACTTCGTCGTTTTCATTGCTTTAAGATGACTTACCTTCTGGGATTCGTAATCATGTTTTATGTTCCAGGGTACTATGACGAGGGCGAGCTTCCACCGGACCCCGTATTCCCTGATTCTGATAATATGGATAACTTCATGCAGCAAATGTGGGTTCTCTGGGTATCGATCTAAACATTGATCTTGGACAGGTGAATAGTGTTGAGCCCACCGTTCCATATTCAGGTATATCTACATCCGATGATACCCTCCTCAAACATGGGGAAAGAGAATCTTCTGTTCTTGCTGCAGGTATTTCTGAGCTTTCCCTTCTTCCTTATCTTCTTATACATACCTCCAACATTTAGGTTGTCCAGGTTCCTCGGGACCCGACGCTGGATTATTAGCCGATATGTTGGCTGAGCAGGCCACCAGAAGAACCGTGGGACCACCCTTTGAGAGTGATTCATTCACAGGTATATATCTGATTCCCTTCATCTTGCCTGATCTTTTGTCTGACTAACGAAGGATTAATATTACAGCGCCAGTCATTGGGATTAACCCAATATCGATTCCCGGCATATCTAGCTTACCTCGGAGTGACGGACTTGCAGGTACGCATACGATTTAGGGACATCGTACTCCTCTTTCATTTATCTGATTTTTTTTTTTGACTAATAAAGGGGTGTAATCATAGGACCAGCCATTAGGACTGATACCTTTATGACTCCTGGTATCCCTCTTGCATCTGAGGACGATGGACTTACAGGTATGCATACGATCTCGTCATCCCGATTTTCCTTATTTGTCTAAATTTTTATTTTGACTAATAAAGAAGTGTAACTATAGGACCAGCCGTTGTGCCTGATGCCACTACAGTTTCTGGGACTGATAGTTTGCCTGAGAGCGGTGTCTTTCCGCCACAGCCGAGAGGTATGATCGATTTGCCTACAGGGGTTGATATATCCTCCATGACTACTCCTGCAGTTACTTCGGAACCTGTCGGATCTCAGCCCGAGGGGACCTCCGTTGGCATTGGTATGCTCGGAATTTGCCCTTAAGTTTTCTTATCATATTTGATAATCTCTTAGCCTTCCACACTGTTACTTGCAGGATCTCGATCATCTCTATATGAGCATGTTCACGCCCTCCTGGCCGATACCGATCCAGACAGAGACATTTTCCGTACAGACCTCGGCTTTTTTACCGCCTTTTTTAACGGCATGATCGAGAAACTGCTTCATCGAGGATATTGTTTTGATCAGTTCAGGCGTTCCTTTTCTCGTCACATGATGATGTTTAGAGAAGAAGGGTATCCAGAGTTGGCCGATTCCTTCACCGCCGATCTTGCTGTTCTGGAGTCGGAGATCCGAGAGTTGAAGGAGCTGAAGGCCAGTGGGGTTTCTTCCTTCGTGTCCTCTCAGATGGAGCATAGGCTGACACAGTGGCGCGACCTGAGATCTTCCATCGGCAGCGAGCTTCAGTCACATGAGCGTTCAGTTGCGCAGCTGATGGCTACCGTGGCGAGGAGGGATACAGATAGGGCCGAGCTACTCCGCTCTATGGATTCCGGGCGCGAGGAAGTGGCTAGGTTGAAGGAGGCTTTGAAGCGCGCCGAGGAGTCCCTTACTGTCATTGCAGAAGACCTGTCTGGAGTAGAGTATTCTCGTGGAAGGCTCTCGAGAAGCTAGGATCTACACAGGAGAGACTGATGAAGCTGAAGGATGAAGCCGCGAAGATCTTAAGCAGTTCCGAAGCCTCTGTCCGAGCTAATCTGCAGGCAGAACTTGAGCAGAGCTATGTAGACAGGCTTTCTAGTTTAGAGTCACATGTTCTTAGCCGTCAGTTGCCTTCGGGCTAACGAGCTTTTTATTATATGCTTTTGACTTGATCTATTACTAGAGACTCCGCATTTGCTTCTTTCATGATATTTCTTTATTTACTTTGAACCCAGCAATGATAAAATTTATAGGATTTTTGGCAAACCCCCAGCCATCAACGGGTTTGATATGTCTTTACCGATTACCGTTTGAATCGGACTAGCATGTGAATTATTAAAACCCGTCTCACATGTGTAACGTTGTGCTAAGAAAATCGCTTTTCTTAGACTTGATGCTATGATTTTGAATACATAGGCTTAACTATTTCTTATAGGGAAAAGGTACCCCGCGCCGCGTATTAAACGACGACTTATCCCTTCTTAGGCTTCGGGATAAAATTCCCTAGGTTTAGACCCTGGTGTCTTTTTCGATCGGCGAAAGACTAAACCGGCAATGTGTGTTAGACATAGACTTTGGGATTTTTGGCAAACCCCCAGCCTTCAACGGGTTTGATGTGCCTTTACCGATCACCGTTTGAATCGGGCTAGCATGCGGATTGTCTAAATCCGTTCCGCATGTAACGTTGTGCTAAGAGAGTGAATTCTCTAAGACTTTGTGCTATGATTTTGAATACATAGGCTTCGCCCTTGTTACGGGAATAGGCTACACGGCAACACGTGTTAGGTGTTGACTCATCCCTACTTAGGCTTCAGGATAAAATTCCCCAAGTTTAGACCTTGGTGTCTTTTTCAATCGGTGAAAGACTAAACCGGCGACGCATGTTAGGCGTAGACTTACCTCTATTTAGGAGTTGAGATAAAATTCCCCGTGCACAAAAGTGCACGGATTGGAAGTTGGGAATTGTATCCTTTATCAGAATAAAGACGGATTGGGAAACGGGAGAGGAAGAATTTTATATTCTATCTCCCGGGACTAAAGAGGAAGAATTTTATATTCTATCTACAGTCAGAAAGGAAACTCAAGGTGGGATCTCCACCCCCAGAATCCGAAAAGATGAAACTAAGAGTGGGATCTCCACTCCGAGAATCGGAAAAGTTCAAACGGCCCTAACTTTTATAGGATTGGTCATTTGAATCAAAGAATCCCTCATTTATTGAGGGGAAAGCCCAATTTCGACCCTAACTTTTATAGGTTTGGTGGAAAAAGGAACAAAAGCGGATTTTCGTTTATCGAAAAGGAATGACTCGGTCTTAGTCTTAACTACTTGTAGACTTGACTAAGTGAGCTCGGGAACAATCCTAACTTTTATAGGTTTGATTGTTCAGATTGAAAGTGGATCTCTCGTTCATGGAAAGAATCGAGAGAGGAATTTGGCTCTGGCCCTAACTTTTATAGGTTCGACCTGAAAGCAAAGAAAGTGGAATACAGGCAGGGATGAAAATGCCAACTCGTATTATCACTTAAAGGAGGACTTTAATGCTAGGTGATTAGGACCTAACATATTGAGTCTGAGAAATGCCAATGACTGGCAGATAGAAATTTTGGTGAATCCACCGTCGATTAATTTGATCAGCAGATGGTTTGGTGAGGAAAGATCAACCTATCAGAGGATTGGATCTCATCTCACAAATATAACTCATAAGAGTTAGAGAATTTGACAATAAGAAGAAACATTCCGACATTCAGAGTTCGAACGTGGATTTCTTATTCATCACTTCTACAGTGACTGGGTTATCCCTAAGAATACCACATCTTCTGGGAACTTCCCGATACATTGGTTATCCTGAAGATACTAAGGATAGTATTTTTTCAGGAACTTGCCGTTTATCGGCATCATAAGCTGGTCGCCGTCCTTGGTGACTAGGCGATATGCGCCACTCGAGTAAACTGTCTCTACTACGAATGACCCTTCCCATTTGGGTTCAAATTTGCCTTTCTTCTTGGAGTTAAGGATCATCGGCCGTCTTTCAGTTAAGACCAAATCCCCTTCCTTAAAACTCCTTTGTCGAACATTTTTGTCGAAGACTCGAGTAATTCTAGCTTGGTAAAACTCAATATGCTGTTGAGCTTCCAGGCGCTTTTCATCGAGCCTCTCGAGTTCTTCGAGGTGTTTCTGATGTTGTTCTTCGGTCGTCATCTGGGTTGCAAGAGCGATCCGAAGAGACGGAATTTGGATTTCCAAAGGGAGAACGGCTTCACATCCGTACACCAATGAATATGGGGTTGCGCCGGTCGGTGTACGCACCGTGGTACGATAGGCCCATAGAGCCGCGCCGAGCTTGTCATCCCAATCCCGCTTGTTATTCTTCACGATTTTTGACAAGAGCTTTATGATAGTCTTGTTGAAGGCTTCAGCTAATCCATTTGCCGTAGGATTATAAGCCGTTGACGAGATATCCTGAATTTTAAACTTTTCGCAGAACCTTATGAAGGCGTTGCTGACAAATTGAGGACCGTTGTCATGTATGATTCGTCTTGGAACACCATACCTATAGATGATATGGTGCTTGATGAATGCAATGACATTACTTCTCTGAGTGGAACTGCTTCAGCCCATTTGGAGAAGTAATCGGTAATTGCCAGGATGAACCGGTCACCTTTGACTGATGGGGGATTTATAGGGCCAACAATGTCCATTCCCCAAGTCTCGAACGGCCATGACGTAACAGAAGGATGTAGATGCTCCGGAGGTTGGTGCATGTAATTCACATGTATTTGACATGCATCACACTTTCGGGCATACGTGACTGCATCACTCATCATGGAAGGCCAAAAATACCCCATTCTTCTGATGCGATCATAAAGCTTGGGGCCAGGTAAGGATGTAGATGCTCCGGAGGTTGGTGCATGTAATTCACATGTATTTGACATGCACCACACTTTCGGGCATACGTGACTGCATCACTCATCATGGAAGGCCAAAAATACCCCATTCTTCTGATGCGATCATAAAGCTTGGGGCCAGGTTGGTGTGCGCCACACTCTCCTTCGTGTGCCTCCCTAAGGACTTCTTCAGCCTCTTTCGCCGATAAGCAACGCAATAGCAAACCATCGTACCCCCTGCGGTACAACGTTCGATTCTCCGTGTTATAGTAGAATCTTGGTGCTCTTCGTCGGATCGACTCTCTTTCCTTCACATCTTCTGGCAAGATTCCATGCAAGACGTAGTCGATGATGGGGAAACGCCAATCTCGTGGTTCGAACTCGACTTGAGTAGCGTGTACCTCTTGAACCTCTTCTTCCTTGGCATCTTCATCGTAAAGCGGCACTAAGAGTTGGTGAGTTCTTACCGTAACAAACTGCTCTGCTTCGGGAGGTTGTGCCAGAGATAGACTGCATATTCTCCTTGGACTTGCTTGACTATTAGCTGAGAATCGCCGAAAGCCTCGAGATACTCAACCCCCAGCTCCTTAGCGAAATTGAGTCCTATAATCAATGCGTTATACTCTGCTACATTATTCGAGCATGGCTCGGTTAGCGAGTAGGCTCGAGGCATCACATGTTTTCCTGGGGAAACTAAGACAACTCCCACTCCGGAAGAAATCTTAGACCTCCCAGGAGCACCTGTGACAATAGCTGCTCGGGAAGCGCCATCGAAGTACAAACGCCATACTTGTTGGTGCGAAGTTGCGAGCGAAATTGAGTCCTATAATCAATGCGTTATACTCTGCTACATTATTCGAGCATGGCTCGGTTAGCGAGTAGGCTCGAGGCATCACATGTTTTCCTGGGGAAACTAAGACAACTCCCACTCCGGAAGAAATCTTAGACCTTCCAGGAGCACCTGTGACAATAGCTGCTCGGGAAGCGCCATCGAAGTACAAACGCCATACTTGTTGGTGCGAAGTTGCGTTGACTTCGTGGGCTTCGTCGGGTAGATCGTCATATATCTCGGCGGTGTCCGTAGTTGGATTAGCTGCCAGGAGAGCACAGATGGCCTGCCCTTTTACCGACTT